GAGGGCTTTAGCTTCCAGGACCTCTGTGGCTGTGGTGACCTCATAGCCCGCTTTTCTTGAACCATTACTCAGGAAGCTGCTGCCATGAGTGTATAGAGTGAGGTTGGCATTTGAGGTCCGTCCTTGAGGTCTGGACCCAGTGCATACACTTCAGTAATGATTTCCAGGCAGTTATGTTCTGGTTCTCCTTCTGCTGTCAGAAGGTATGTGGCTGGGTTGAGAGCCTGTACTGTCTGCAAGGTAATGCGGGGCTTCTCCAGGAGTAGTCCTTGATACTGAGTGAGCTTGGTGTTTGGAACCCATTTTTGACCTTGGACATTCATTAGAGTTACTACTGAGTGGGGAATCTTTACGGTTAGCTGCTGTCCAAGGGTGAGCTTTACAGCTTCTTTGATAAGGAGTATGGTGGCTGCCAGGGCTCACAGGCAAGGGGGCCATCCAGAAGCGACAGGATCTAATTTCTTCGACAGGTACACCATGGGCTTTCCCCAGGGGCCTAAAGGTTGAGTTAGAAGCCCTAAAGCTGTTTTATCCTCTTCGTGGACATATAGGCAGAAAGGTTTTCCGGTGTCAGGTAGGCCCAGGACTGGAGCCTTTCCAAGTAGGACCTTAAGTTGGTTAAAGGCTTTTTCTTGTGTGTCTTTCCACTGTAAAGATTGTGTCTCCGGTCCCACTAGTAGATTGTGTAGGGGCCTGGCTATGACTGAGAACCCTGGTATCCAGATCCGGCAGAATCCTGCGGCTCCCAGGAGCTCATGTAGGGCCTTTCTAGTAGTTGGCCATGGAAGGCTATTTATTATAGCCTTCCGTTCTACGCTGAGGGCTCATTTTGAGTTATTATGAACCCCAAATACTTTACTTCTTGTCTGCATAGCTGAGCTTTCTTCCAAGAGACTCGATATCCTCTTTTTGACAAGTGATGTAGGAGGTCGAGTGTTGCTCGGTGGCAGGTCTCGATGAGGAGGTCATCGATGTACTGGAGGACCGTGCATTCAGTCTGGTCCTGGGGAAAGTTGGCTAGGTCAGAGGCTAGGGCTTCACTGAATATTGTGGTAAGTTTTTAAATCCTTGTGGGAGCCAGGTCCAAGTGAGTTGCATTTGGCGCCCTGAGTTGGTGTCTGTCCATTCAAAAGCAAAAAGGGGCTGGCCTACTGGGGCCCAGCAGATGCAGAAAAAGTCATCCTTCAAGTAGAGGCAGGTGAACCAGGCAGCGCCCAGTGGGATCTGGCTTAAATAGGGGTTGGGCACCACTGGGTGTAGGGTTTCCATCGGGAACAAGGACTTTAAAAGACCCTTTGCCCCCCGGTTGATTCACAGCATGCAAGCCCTAGATGGGTCGGTAGTCACCATTGGGTTTTTTGACTGGGAGCAGCAGGGTGTTCCAGGGGGACTGGCACTCAATTAGGATGTCTGCCTCTTTCAGAAGCCCCAGATGAGCCTGTATGCCCAACTGAGCTTTCTGTGAGATCGGATATTGTCTCTGATGCTGAGGTTGAGTTCCAATTTTTAGTTCTATAATAACTGGGGCTCGCTGGACGCGAGCCTGGGTGGGTTATCTTCTGCCCATACATTGGGAACTGCGGTCTGGAAGGCTTCAGGGTTGGTTTCAGGATGATCTTGTCCAAATAGTCTCCATTCCTCATCTCAGGGTGTGTTTAAGGACATGATTAATCCCAGGCTTGGTGGGGCTTAGATTCATGGTAGCCCGTCCCGACTGCTCAAAAGAAATCTGTGACCCTAATTTTGAAAGTAAGTCTCTTCCCAATAGCGGTAGTGGGCAGTCTGGGACATATAGGAATTCATGGGAGACTACACGTCCTCCCAGTTTACAGGCCTGAGATTGACAGAAGGGTTGACTTGTGGCCCAATCCCCTCTGGTCCCCATGAGGATTATGGTGTCCTGTTAGGGGTGCCACTGGTGTGATCACTACTGAGTGTTCTGTTCCGGTGTTGACCATGAAAGTGATCTTTTGGCCCCCAAAGTTCTTATCAACCATGGGCTCCCGGAGGCCTAACATCACAGCTCGGTCCCTGTCAGTCTGGATCTATATTGGCTAGCCCAATGAAGTCAGGATCTTGGTTTGCCTCAGCCTTGGGTTGGGAGGAGGGCTTGTTTGATCTGGGCTTCCGATTCCGGCATTCATTTTTCCAGTGTTCCATTTCCTTGCAATATGCACATTGATCCTTTTTGAGGGTTCTGCACTGCTGAGGTCATGCCTCTGACCATCCTGTTGTTCCACGTAGTTGGGAGTCTTGTTGGAGGGCCGCAGCTAGCAGAGTGACTGTTTCATTTTCTTTTCAGCCTCTGGTTTGGATATGTTGTCTTGGTTGCGGTAGACCTTGTTTGCTATTTCTAGTAGTTGGGTGATGTTCATCCTGGTGAAACCCTCAAGTTTTTGGAGTTTGTGGAGGATATCAGGGGCTGACTGAGCGATGAAGGCTGCATTCACCATCCATTGATTCTCTGGTGCCTCTGGATCAAATGGAGCGTATATGTGGAAAGCCTTGCGGAGCGGCTCATAATTACCAGGCATCTCTTCTCCGTCCTGAGTCACATCAGGCATTTTTGACATGTTAGTAGGCCTTTTGGCACCTTGGTGGAGGCCCCGCAGGATAGCATCTTGGTAGCGGTTGATGGCATTCCAGCCTTCCTCTGTGTTGAGGTCACAACCAGGCTGGTTGTCCGGGGCAGACTCTTGGGACCATCCCTCAGGGTTTAAGGTGCTGACTGGTGCCACCTCTTCGAGCCATTTACGTGCCTCCTGGAGAACACGGTGCGAAGGAGCTGTTGGCAGTCTTCCCAGGTTGCTCAGTGGATTTGGAAGATGGATTCCATGAGGTTGATCATTGCCTGTGTTTTTTCTGAATAGGCGGGAGTATGATTTTTCCAATTTAGGAGGTCTGTGGTGGTGAAGGGCTGGTAGTAGATAATGGGTCTGCCTGGTTGGGGGGTGCCATCTACTCCAATTTTGTCAGGATCTCGAGTTTCTCTGAGGGGCACTGGGTAAGCAGCGATTTCTCGCGTTTGGAGGTGGTGTGTGATGTTCCATGGCTTGCTTTCTGGGGAGGGTCCCCTCTCAGGAACAGTTGGCAGGGAAAATGGTGCTGGCTGCGGGGTCACTGGCATCTGGGGAGTTGGAGGCGGTGGGGAAACAGTTGTCATTGTCAGGGCTGGGGACACCGGAAGAGGTATTGATGGTGTTGGGAGCGAGAGGAGGTGGGGAGGGTATGTCTGGTGGTGAAACAGAAGGTGGCGGTGTGCCGGGTCCCACCTCAGGTGCAGTCAGGAGGGCCGATGCAGTCGGGAGGGTTGGAGGTCCATAGGGCGGTGGGAGTTCATCATCTGGGTCCCCTTGGTGTATGGCCTTACTTCAGATGCCCTTGGTCGGTTGTGCGATGAGAATCCTGCACTGTCCCTTGCCATTGGCAGAGAACGAGGGTCCTGGCTATTTCTAACCAGGAATCAATTTATGGGAACTGGTCCAGATGTCCTGGGTTTCCCATGACTACACAATAAACTTGCTGGACGGTGGGGAGGTCTAAGGTTCCTTCTGAGGGCCAGCCAACATCAAAAGCGGGTCACTCTAGCTCACATAGAGTCCTCAGTTTTCCCGGGGTCATATGTACCCCGTATTCAGCACTAAAGCCTTTCCTTAAGTTTTTAAGCATACAGTCTAAGGCAGTGTGGTTTACTGGGTTTCCCACCCATTGTGAACAGTGTTGCAAACGAAGGGTGGGGTATTTTCGGGTGCTGTCCTGCTCACATCCCTGGCAGGAACTTAGGAGCGTCTTAGCTAAGGTCTATTGGTATAAGCCCCGGACCAGGATACTCGGTGGAGTAGATGACCGTTATGCCCTATGAGGCTCCGTGAGACTCAGGGTGCAGCCCACTCCGTAGCTGAAGCAGTGGAGCCATACAGACACACTCACACACTCAAACGTTCCTCAGATTCAAACAGGTTGGATAACCCCCCTCTGGGTGTCCCTGGCTAATGGGAGGTTATCAGTCTCCCCTCCCGTCCTGACGGACGGGTCTGACTCGGACAGTGGCCCTGGGGCTTACCTGGTCCAACGGGTGGATCTGGCCAGCTGTCCCCGGTCTCCTATCTCTGGTCCAGTAGGGCGGAGACGAGCGGCAGCTGTCAGGGAGAACCCAGCCTCGGGTCCCTCGAAATCAGTAGGGCGCACCCAAACCCTATGCTAGGCACTCCGCTGCCCATCATGGCTCATCTCCGGTCCCACACCGGTGGCACAATGGGCTAGCGGGGTTCCGTTTCCCGATCAGGGAACCAAATGTTGCGGAAATTCTGAGGCGACGGAGAAACTCAAGCGGCACGCAGAGAAGTGGGACACAACACAGCTTTATTAACACCTGCGGGCTCAGCGGGATGGTTCCCAACGTTTGAGCACCCAGCTATGATTGGGGCGGATATTTATAGGCAAACTAGGGATTTTTCGCGGTATCGCATAGCTGATTGGCTCGGGGTCACACGGCAGTTCTTAAAGCTATGCGGAAGTGACTGAGTGGAGAAGTGCCAAGTCATTCTGGGGGGTTCCTTATCTCAGTGAGGCGGCCATTTTGGGCTTTTCTGCCTCATCAGGACCCAACGCTGCTGGCGAGGAAGAGGAGTAGATGGCTTGAGAGCGCTTATTGCTCACGCCCTCGGTCCTAGGGCTGCGGGTCTAGCTGGCAGTAGGGAGAAACCACTGCTCACACACCAGGCGCTGGGCGGGGAACAGTGCGTGGGCGCAGGTCCGGCGGGGCGGGGCGGGGCCGAGCGGCGCGCGACCCTCCGCGCGCTCAGGGAGTTACAGACCCGGGCGGCCTCTCTGGCCCCCACTCCCGCGGGCTCTATGACACCGCGCTGGCTCGCGGGACGGGGCGGGGTTGGTTGAGGGGGAGGAGACCACTTCAGGCTGTGCATCTCGCGGTGAGTCTTGATCGGAACTCTCTCGCGAGAGTAGAAAGTACCGCGCTTGCGCGTTGCAGTAGCGCCTGGTGGCTTTGGCAGGTACCCAGACGGTTGTGTGAGGAGAGGTAATCTGTTCGGAGGCTACTGCGTTCTGTCCACAAGTCCCCGTGACTCGCTACCATGAGCAGCACCTTAGCCAAGATCGCGGAGATTGAAGCCGAGGTAATGGGCACAGGTGGCGCTTCACTCTCCTTCAGAGTGTTCCTCTTTAGGTAGTGTTCCTCTTGCCTATACTCCCTTCAGCGGCGTCAGGACCGGCCCAGCGTTCTTCGACTCCGCTTTTCCCGATCCTGCGTTCCCCGACTCCCCTCCGCCTTCGCTGGATCCCCCCGACTCTCTCAGCCGCGTTCCACACCCTTGCTCCTTGGTTGGTACCCCGTTCCGTGTTCGGCTCCTGTCCGAACACCGATCCTCTCAGTCTTCCTTTTTTGAGAGCGACAGTCCTCTCCGCCCCCCTGCTCCAGCCCTGGCCCGCTCACGCATTCAGTATCTTTGATCATCTCCCAAAACCCATCCCCCTTTCCCCAATCTTTGAAGACAGCGTTTCCCAGAGTATTGTCCCAGGAATGGATCTGGGATAACATCTGCAGTAGATGTTGATTCAACCTGAATTACTATGTGATTCTGTTGTTTGAAGTGCTCGGAGCATTTTAAAATCCCGAAAAGTGGTGACCTTACATCAGATCGTGCATGCCAGGTACAAGCAGTAGAAGAGGACTTCGCATCTGAGTTTTAGTCTGATCTGTGGGCGCTGATTGCAGTGACCTTGGTCATGTCTCTTCTGTTTGGGCCTCAGTTGTTTACTTTGTAATGAGGGAAATGGGGTGGGTAATGAAGAGGATGACTTTTCACTCTTTTTTATGTCTGACTAAAATGGGTATATTGGCATCAGGTAGGATCTAGAAAAAAATAATTCCCAGCTCGGGGGGTGGGGGTTCATTGTGGGTATTTTACCCTGTAGGAACTGCTTCTGATTTGTGGCTGTGATTTCCTTCCTTACAGATGGCTCGGACTCAAAAGAACAAGGCCACAGCACACCACCTAGGGCTGCTTAAGGCTCGCCTTGCTAAGCTTCGTAGAGAGCTCATTACCCCAAAAGGTGGTGGTGGTGGTGGGCCAGGAGAAGGTTTGTGTTTTTCTTCAAAAAAAATTTTTTTTGGTGTAATTGATACAAAGAGAAGTGAAGGTAGGAAGAATAATTTGAAGCCAAGGGAGATAAGGTTAGGACCAAAAATAATGTCACAAAATCTATATACTTCCCAGAGGAGGGCCATGAATTTGGCTTCATTTGCAGACATTTAAAAAGAAAAAAAAATGAAAAAGAAGGAAAATCCAGTCAGTCATACAGTTCTTAGAGTTTGTAAGACAAAAAAAGAAACCCATTTTTATTTTATTTATTTATTTTATTTTATTTTAAAAGAACTTTAGCTTATTTTTTTACTTAAAATTAGTTTGTAATTCTAGTAACATTAACAAACAGTGTTATATTAGTTTTAGGTATACAATATAGTGATTCATCAATTCTATACTTAGTGAGCATCACAATACATGGGCTCTTAATCCCCTTCACCAATTTCACCCATCCCCCACACCTTCCTTCTAGTGACCATCTGTTCTCTATGTTTAAGAGTCTAATTTTTTGTTTCTCTTTTTGCATTTGTTTTGTTTGTTATAGTCCACATATGAAGAAACTCATTTTTAAAAGATCTTATTTATTTGAGAGAGAGAACACATGTGCATACACACACAAACGGGGATGGAGGAAATAAGGATAAGCAGACTGCGCTGAGGGTAGAGCTCTGTGTTGGGCTTGATCTCTTAGCCTGAGATCATGACCTGAGCCAGAATTAAGAGTTGGCCAGGCGCCCCACCCATTTTTACATCCATTATTATAAAATGTTTGTTAAATACTGTGGGTACCAGAAAGGTGTATAACTGTAAGTGGTAGAGGAATAAAGTTTCTAAATAAATACTCCACTAAACAGTGTTAGGGACACCTGGGTGGTTTAGTCAGTTAAGCATCTGCCTTTGGCTCAGGTCATGATCTCAGAGTCCTGAGATCCAGCCCTTTCTAGCTCCCTGCTTCTCCCTTTACCCCCCGGCCCCCCGCACTTGTGTTCTCCCTCTCTCTGTGTCAAATAAATAGATAAAATCTAGAAATAAATAAGCAATGTTGTTGCTATTTTCTGTGGTTAAGCTCTGGAGAGGTAAACTGTAGAAAGTTGGAGAAATATGTTCTAGATGGATAGACTGCCAGAATGTGAAAGGAATTTCATGAATCTCAACACTTTCTTCTTCTTTTTGATATTTATTGATGTTTTAGGTTTTGATGTGGCCAAGACAGGTGATGCTCGAATTGGGTTTGTGGGTTTTCCATCAGTGGGGAAGTCAACACTGCTTAGTAACCTGGCAGGGGTATATTCTGAGGTGGCAGCCTATGAGTTCACTACTCTGACCACTGTGCCTGGTGTCATCAGATACAAAGGTGCCAAGATCCAGGTGAGTCAGGCCTCAGGCCACAGATGGAAAGAAATCCATTCTTTTATTCATGTAAAAAGCGCTTATTGGAAGCTCTCTTTATGGCAGACCTGATCTTTGATCTACGAGGCCCTTCCTGTCTAGCAAGGAAGATAGAACAGTACATAAAGACAGTAACGCAGTGGGATAGTGTTTGTGAAAACACAGAGAAAGAAGGAACTATTTTTTCACCCGAGGATATTGGGGCAAGGTCTGGTAAGAGTTAAAATAAGCTTCATGTAGAAAATAACAGTGCAGGTGGGTCTTGAAATTCAGGTAGGATTTCATCAGCCAGAGAAGGTAAAGGGCAATTTCAGGCAGCCATAATGGTAAATAGCTTGCTGTGGTACAAGCTGAGGCGTGGGACAGGAATGGTAGAAACTTAATCTGGAGAAGTAGGTTGGAGCTGAATTATGAAGGGCCTTGTGTGCCTGCTAAGGCAGTTGAATTTTCTCTTACCTGTAGCTAGGAACCATTAGAAACTTTTTAATAAAAGAAATCATGTAAGATCCTTTGTATTTTTTGATGAGATCCTTTTTAGAAGATAATTCTTGTCTGTGAGGCCTAATGAAGTTATGTCCTGAGAAGTTTTTCTTAGGTGATGGATTTAGGGGTAGCAAATAAAGAGTCCCTTTGGGTATAAAAGAAGGTATATGTGGGGCACCTGGGTGGCTCAGTGGGTTAAGCCTCTGCCTTTGGCTCAGGTCATGATCTCGGGGTTCTGGGATCGAGCCCCGCATCGGGCTCTCTGTTCAGCAGGGAGCCTGCCTCCCCCCCCCCCTCTCTGCCTGCCTCTCTGTCTACGTGTGATCTCTCTCTCCTTGTCAAATAAACGAATAAAATCTTTAAAAATAAATTAAAAAAAAAAGAAGTTAAAAAAAAAAGGTATATGTAAATGTAAGCTTTAATGGGTCATATTCTTACTGGCTGCATAGCTGAGAAGGCAAGATTCTGAATTCCATGACATTTGAGTTTAGGCCGGAGGTTCCCAGACTTTCTTCGCTCACAGCACCCTTAGTGTCTCAGCAGTTATTTTCTGACACCTTTTCTTGTCCCAGTAATTTTTTTATCATGCTCCAGGCCAAAAGAAGTACCTAATGGTTCTGTTTGTTAGGTCCAAACAACTTAAGCATTTATGTCCTTACAGCCACAGTTATTTATTTACCAATGGGGTGTGTGCACTGTTGGGTACCACATAATTTCTCAAACTTTGGAATCAGACTGGATACAATCACATTTGTTAACCTTTTCCACATTGATTTTTGTGTGGTGCTTTTTTACCATAGCGACTAATGAAAAATCTTAACTTCTCAAAGATTTGGATATGACAACTGAAAGCAATGTAGTTGGATGTAATGTTGAAATTTTGAGCTATGTGGAGCTAGTAGTTCCTTCGTTGTGTGACGTATATCAAGAATTACTGTTTCTCTTGGAAATTTAGAATATCCCGTGCTACCCTTAAGTTCCATGTGGTGCTCCAGAGTCCCTTGGCTCATTATTTGGGAACTGTTGGTGTAAGCATTTGTTTTCCCCCCTGCTGAGCTACACAGTGAGTTTTGAGGTACATTTGTGCTTCTTTATTGATCTGAAGTAGGAAGGGACCAATGTCCTGGTGTTACTTCCTTTTTTTTTTTTTAAAGATTTTTTTAAAATTTTTTTATTTGACAGAGATCACAAGCAGGCAGAGAGGCAGGCAGAGAGAGAGGGGGAAGCAGGCTCCCCGCTCAGCAGAGAGCCCGATGTGGGGCTCAATCCCAGGACCCTGAGATCATGACCTGAGCCAAAGGCAGAGGCTTGACCCGCTGAGCCACCCAGGCGCCCCCTTGGTGTTATTTTCAATGGCTTTTTTTCCTGGCAATGCAAAGACTGTGGTGGGACATGGACCTTTCAGGGACTCCATGTCCAAATGTATATAACAAGAATGAGGATGCTTGAGCATATCTGGACCACTTCTTGATGCCATCTGGTTTTAGAGTCTTGGTGATAATCACAGTTTTAGCAGCTCAGAGAATAACTTCTTCCTTGATGAGATGTTCTTGACACCTCTTTCAGAGCTTTTGAGTATATCAGAATAAAAAAACTATTTAACCCTCTCTTTCCTTTTCTTTCCCATGAAGCATTCCTTTCATTGTCTCCTGACCTGTTAGGTTCTCCCCCCCTTTTTTTGCACGATGCTTGCTTTTCTGCCTGTGCACTTTCCTTCTCCCACAGCCCCCACCGACTTTAGAAACCAAGTTAAGGTGTGCACGACAGGATGAAAATGAACACCTTTGAATTTTTTTTTTTTAATGTTTTTTAAATAGCTGTTTTGTGGCAGAGTACTCATTATCTGTGACATGGATGAAGAGGTATACAAAACTAGAACCATTTAATAAGAATTATAAGGAGGGCAATTTCTGGTTTTTTGTTAGGAAGGATGATGGTTTTAACAGTAAAGTTGCCTAAAAATGGAATGGTACCTCTTGAGGTAATAAATTACTCTATGTGGAGGTCTTTTAGGTAGTGACTGAACCAGCACTTACTGGGGATGTTATAAAGCAAACTGATGTTATCACATAGGCGGATACTAGCCTGCAGAATGGATGTTCAGTTTGTAAAAATTATGGGGCTTATTTTCACCTTCCTAGGGTCCCTAGGACTCCTCTTGTCCTGTATAAATAATTGACTTGTATATTTATCTGCTTTAACCGCTAAAGGCATTTGAGTTTGAGTTAGTTTAATATTGAATTCTTAAAATCCTACAGTTTCATGATTAAAAAAAAAAAACTACTCTTGTCTCTTGGTTGTAATATGAAATTCAGATGTGTAAAGCATGGGTTATTTTTTGAATGAAATTTAGTTGCCATGTCTACAGCCATAGCATCCTGATATTGTCTGAAATTTAGTTGCCATGTTTAAATAGTTTGCTGTGGGGTGCCTGGGTTGCTCAGTCATTAAGTATCTGCCTTTGGCTCAGCCCGCATCAGGCTCCTTGCTCAGTGGGAAGCCTGCTGCTCCCTTTCCCACTCCACCTGCTTGTGTTCCCTCTCTCTCTCTTTCTCTCTGTCAAATAAATAAAATCTTAAAAAAAAAAAAAAGTTTGATGTAACTTTAAAAATAATTTCTGTCAAGAAAAGTTAAATTAGGTTGTATTTTTACTTTTGTAGGGGCTTCAATGAATTTCCCCGTTTTCAGTTACGATAGTTAGAAAGGCTGTGCTCTTTTCTCTTAGCTTAATATTTTCTCTTTCAGATGGCCTTTTATAGCCGTATTCTAGGTTTCAGAGTTTTAGATTATCCGATGGATTTTCTTTTTTGTGTTTTTGAGAACATTAGCTAGGCTCAGTATACACTTTTTTTTTTAAATTAAAAAAAAATTTTTTTTAAAGATTTTATTTATTTATTTGACAGAGATCACAAGTAGAGAGGCAGAGAGAGAGAGAGAGAGAAGGAAGCAGGCTCCCTGCTGAGCAGAGAGCCCGATGTGGGGCTTGATCCCAGGACCCTAGGATCGTGACCTGAGCCGAAGGCAGAGGCTTTAACCCACTCAGCCACCCAGGTGCCCCATCAGTATACACTTCTAAAGCCTTTTGCTGATATATGTGTGTATATATGTATTTTTTTAAGCAGAAGTAATATATATATATTTTTTAGTAGACTGGGATTTACTGAGTGTTAGAAATAGATGGTAGAATCTTTGGGAGAGTTGAAGTAGACTCGACTTAATTTCTAGGAACAACTGATGATGTTCAAATATCTTTTTTGAGGTATAATTCACATACAATAAACTACAGATAAAGCATACAGTTTGCTAAGTTTTGACATAGCTATATACTAGTGAAAACATCACCACAATCAAGATCATAAACACACCATCCCCAAAAGCTTCTGTATGCCGCTTCCCTCCTGATGCCCTTTATCTCCAAGCCAATTACTTATCTACATTTTATCACTACAGATTAGTTTACATGTTGAGTTTTACATAAATAAGACCATGTGTAAATATAAATGTACTCTGTTTTAGGTGGCTTCTTTCATTCAGCATCATTATTTTGAGGTTTATTGTATCATTCATGTTGCTGCCGCTTATGTGAACATCCTACCTAATCACAGGAGAATTAGCAGGAATAGATTAAACTACAGACCTTATTCAAATTTTTACCAATTTTCCCACCAATGTCCCTTTCTAAGATTTTTATCTGGGATCATCCTGTGTTGTGTTTATTCTTCCGCCATGTATGATAGTTACTCAGTCCTATCCTTTAAGACCTTGACACTTAAAGAGTATTGATTAGTTGTTTTGTAGAATGTCCCTTAGTTTGGGTTTATCAGATGTTTTCTCACAATTAGATTGAGGTATTATGTATTTTGTCAAGAATACAATGAAATGATGGTGTGTCCTCAATGCATCTTACAGGATTCATGATGTTATATGTCTTAATTGGTGATGTTGACATCCATCAGTTGGTGATATCTGCAGGATTTTTCTACTATAAATCTATTATCTTTCTTTTTTAAAAAAGTTATTATCTTTCGGGGCACCTGGGTGGCTCAGTGGCTTGAGGCCTCTGCCTTCATCTCAGGTCATGATCCCAGGGATTGAGCCCCACATCTGGCTCTCTTCTCGGTGGGGAGTCTGCTTCCTCCTCTCTCACTCTGCCTGTGTCTCTGCCTACTTGTGATCTCTGTCAAATCAATAAATAAATTCTTTAAAAAAAAAAATTATCTTTCTGGGGTGCCTGAGTGGCTCAGTCAGTTAAAGAGGCTGCCTTCGGCTTGGGTTATGATCCCAGGGTCATGGGATCTAGCCCCATATCTTGTTCCCTGCTCAGTGGAGAGTCTGTTTCTCCCTCTCCCTCTGTCACCGCTCTGCCTGTGTGCTCGCTCGCTCTCTCTCTCTCTGTCAAATAAAATCTTTAAAAAAAATTAAATTATTTTTCTTTTTATAGGTAAATGTCTTGGGAGAGGTACTTTGAGAAGATACAAATCCTCTCTCTCAAACTTGCCCACTCATTTTAGCATCCATCTGGATCCTATCTGTAGCAGTTATTACTCTGCTTTTTGCCTAACGCTGATTCTTTATTTTTCTTTCTTACTATATGTTATTAATTAGGACTCTATTTGGAAGAGCTGTTTTTTCTTTCATTTATTTATTCAATAATATGTATCAGTGTGGGCTTGTGGATATTTTATCTTATGGGTTATAATCAAGTACTACCATTATTTGTTACTCATTTTGTTCCAGTTTTGACAATTAGGAACTCCTTCAGGTTGGCTCCTGTGTACTTTTCATAAGCCCCCATCTTTTTGTGAGTACTTAATTTTTTGGTATGACGCGATGTTCCATGCTAATCTTTGATTTTTTCCTGCTCCAGGACCGAAATCAACCACTTCTGAAGGAGCTCTAGTTTCTTTTATTGGAAAATGGTATTTAGAAATCAAGAACTGGTGTGCTCATTACTTCACATGTAACCTTGTAAATCAGTATAATTAAAGTTCCCAAGTCAGGGCTGATTTAGTCGACATAAATTATAAAAGGGTAGTTCAGTTTGGTGTGTTGTATTAGTCTTAGAGGTGTAACATTATTTAGCGAAGAATAGGGAGGAGCTTTGAGTAGGAAGGAAAAGTTGAACTAAGTGCCTCCAGAATTAGTTCTTTTTCATTTTGGTTTATTTAGCTATTTTAAAAACCCATCATGGGGCTTATTAAGACTCAGAGATCAAGAGTTTTAATGCTTTTCAAACTGAACTAGCCAGGCACCCCCATGTGGTTTATTTAATGTGAAATATATTTTTAGAATGTCAGATAGGCTTATAGCAAAGGCTGGTTTTAAATGTTTTGATAAGCTGCCACTCTGTTTCTGGTCCATTTATGTGGATAAATATTGGCCATATAGATGACTCTTGATATTTCCATTTTATATATGCTCTTAACTGTTTTCAGTGGACTCTTTAAGGGTTTATAAATAATAGTTTGTAATTTTGCTGAGATGTGCATTTGATTTGTGTGCTATGAAGTTGGCTTTTATGTTCTTATAGTTATGTACATACACTATGACTTCTGTGAAGTTTTACCTTTACTGTGTTTTCTGGGCTTAAATTAAACAGTCATTTTTCAACTGGGACACATCAGAGTCACCTGTGGAACCTTTTGAAGTACAGATTAATATCTGAACCCTACATTGCCCTTTTAAATTAGAATTTATAAGGATGGGGCTTGGATATCTGCATTTTTAATGGTTTTACAGGTGATTGTTATGTGCTCACCTGGTTAAGAATGACTGCAGACCCCTGGGGCTAATAATATATTATATGTTAACAAAAAAAAATTTAAAAATTAACAAATTGAAGAACAACAACAAAAAAAGAATGCAGAAATTTTTGTAAATTGGAGGATTTGCAAAGCTCTCAGTATTTATCACGTGAATATCAAGATTCAACTATTATCCACAGTAAGGAATTGGTGTGGAGGCTCAGCCTTCTGAAAAGAAGTGGTGTGTGTGTATGTGTATATATATATATATATATATATATATATATATATTTAATATATAAAATATAAATATAAAAATATACATTATATATATAAAATATTAAATATATTTATTTATTTATTTATTTTAGAGAGGTGGTGGGGAGCAGAGGGAGAAAGACAGTCTTAAGTAGGCTCCACGCCCAGCATGGAGCCCAACATGGGCTGGATCTCACAACCCTGAGGTGACCTGAGCCAAAATCAAGAATCAGACACTTAACTAACTGAGCCACCCAGGCGCCCCTAGAAGATGATAATGTAGAATAATGGGTTTGGCCTTCAAAATGTGAGTTATAATCTTACTTGATTTATTAGGATTGTGATTTTGGGCAAATCACTTAACCTCTGTGAATCTCAGCTAATATCCTTATCTCAGGGTTGTTAGGCATTTTAAACTAGGTAAAATACATAAAAAACTTACTAAAAAGTATAGAAAAGAACTGACATTTAAGTGCATAGTACACTCATAAAGAAGGTTGGATTTGGATCTTTTATACTTTGGATACTTGAAATCATTCTGTTTGTTCAGATTTATGACTTCTTTTTCTCTTCTCTTCTTTATCCTGTCCTTAATCTTGCAGCTTCTGGATCTTCCAGGTATCATTGAGGGTGCCAAGGATGGGAAAGGTAGAGGCCGTCAGGTCATTGCAGGTGAGTAGTCCAGAGCCACCATCCTGGGATATCATCTCTTTATTGGGTACTGTTCCTTTAGTTGGGGATTCTTGGACTTAAGAGAGTTTACCACAACGAAGGGCATAGTTTTACCTGACTTCTTACTAGAGTAGGATGTCAGAACTTGAAGGGACTTGAGAAAGTAAGTCCACATCTCCATTTGAGGAGAAACACTAAGTATGGGAGAAGTGAAGTGCTTCAGTCCATTGTTGCCCTAGTTGTGGCCAATTTCAGAACTAGAACTTGGGTTTTCTGACTCCCACTCATGCCTTTTCCTTCTTTTCTTCTTTTACTTGAAGTAAAGTATTATAAAAGGGCCATCATTAATTGCAACAATCTGCTTTTCCACTTTTCCTCACCTCCACAGTCATTCCCCATTGGCAACTGTTATCAACTCTTCAACTGTTCCTTCTGTTACTCACTTCATATTTTCATATATTATGCTTATATTGCTATTTCATGATTAATTAATTTTAGATGTCATTTACTGGTTTCATGTTATGGTGGAGAATTAGCTCTCTTCTATACCTTTTTTCTCATTTCTTTTTTGAAGATTTTATTTAATTATTGAGAGAGCATGAGCAGGGGGAGGGGCAGAAGGAGAAGCAGGCTCCCTGCCACGCAGGGTGTCCAATGCAATGCGGGGCTCTATCCCAGGATCCTGGGACCATGACCTGAGCCAAAGGCAGTTGCTTGACTGATTGAGACACCCAGGTCCCCCCATTTTTTTTTTTTCAATTTTAATTTTAAGTAATCTCTGCACCCAACATGAGGCTCAAACTAGCAACCCTTAGATCAAGAGTCACATGCTCCACTGACTGAGCCAGACCCTCCTTTCAAATAAATTATATCACAGTTTTTAGTTAACTTACCAGTCATAGTTTACATTATTATCTAATGAATATGTAACTTTTGTTCAATGCTAATTCTTTTCTCTTGAAGTCTGTTTTTAAAATTTTCATGGAATTAATGATTGTTTCTTTTTTTGTTTAATTTACTTTTCTGTGTTTGCTAATATTTTTCAAATGTTCTAACAGATCAAATGCCTATTAGTATTTTCCTAGATAAATATAGCTCCAAATCAGTCTTACTGAGTCATTCTTTCCCCACAACCCTGACAGTACCCTTGTATACCCTGTCTTCTTGCTTTAATCTGGATTGGTTGCAGCACTGTCCAGTAGAGGAAATGGTCTGACTCTGTGCTCTCCACAGTGGTAGCCCCTAGGCATGTGTGGTTATTGGGAGTGCTTTAAATGAGACTAGTGTGATTGAGAAACTGAATTTCAAATTTTATTTTATTTTAATTAGTTTAAGTAGCCCCAGGTGGCTAGGGAGTCTGTATTGCACAGTGCAGCTATAGATTTTTTGCATGGCTATCAATCTGAGGCTTTCTTCTATGTCTTTGTGTGGGCTCCCCTATTTCCTGGAGTCAGTGTCTTTTTTGGGGTCATTTTCATGTTTTCCTGAAGCACAATCTTTAGTAAACTTCCAGGAAAAGGATAAATGATAGGAAAATTTTTGTCTTTGCATGTTTGAAAGTATTTTTATTGTATCCTTATATTATATTATTCATTTAGCTATTTATAGAATTATGTATTAGGATAATTCATGGATGAATATCAGAAACATTATGCTAAATTAAAAGAGCCAGGCACACAAGACTATATTTTGTATAATTCCATTTATATGAAATTTTTTAAAATGTAAACTAACCTGTGGTGACCGCAGATCAGTGATTGGGAATCAAGGGGAAGATTGATTTCAGAGGTGATGGAAATGTTCTCTTACTTCCCTGTGGTGGTTATATAGGTGTATACATTTGTCATTAAACCATATGCTTAACATGGACACAATTTGGTTTTTTGTAAATTACACTGATAATATATATGTAATATGTATATGATATACATATGTGTGTGTGTATATATATAATTACACTGATAATAAAGTTGATTAAGAATTTGCCAAGCATACAGTCTTATGTTTTTAGAATCTGTTTTAAATCTTTCTAAACTTTCTCAGGGATTTAGGTTAGTGCTCGGTTCTTACCTTCATTCTGATTTGTTTTTCAGCTAGTGTATCTAGAAGTTAACACATCTTCTAGATATACCAGTGGAAAAATGAGGCACACATTGCAAATTGATTTCTGGCATAGACTTTGTAACCTTAAGAACTTCATGTATATCTGTGTATTTATAAAGAAAAAATCCTTTGTCTTAATGGAACTCCACTGCCCCCCACCCTAGCCAGCTTTTGAGTATTTGGCTTAGTTAAGTTTTCAGTGAGCTTTGCTTGGATACAAATTATTTTTTCCATTCTTCAGTGGCCCGAACATGTAACTTGATCCTGATTGTTCTGGATGTCTTGAAACCCTTGGGACATAAAAAGATAATTGAAAATGAGCTGGAAGGTTTCGGCATTCGCTTGAACAGCAAACCCCCCAACATTGGCTTTAAGAAGAAGGATAAAGGAGGCATTAATCTCACGGCCACTGTAAGTGGAGATGATATGGGGCTGCTGAAGGGACTGGGGTCAAGAGTGGATTGAGGCACAGGGATATTGACCGTTGGAAATCACTTGGCTTCTGCCAGCCCTAACAGAAGTAACACAGTGACCTTCTAACTTTCAGAGTAGGACAAGAATCAGTCTCAGACTTAACTTCATTTCTTGTTTTGGGTATTTATTTGGTGTGATATGGGAGTATAGACCAGTTTTCTTTTTCTTTTTCTTTTTTTTTTCTTTATAGACCAGTTTTAATGCTTACATGAAGTAGGTGGCTGCTAATGTGTTTTCATTCATTCAGTGCAGGTTTATAGGGTGCCCACCATGAGCCAAGCATTGTTTTACGCTCTTCTTGGATAGAGGGATAGGTTGGAAGAGAGAGCAAAATAGGCAAAAATCTCTTTCCTTACATTCTATGTGGAAAAGTAGTGAACAAAATTAATGAGTTAATACGATATATTAGATGATATTAAATCTAAGGACAAAAATAAACTAGGAAAAGGGATGGAGAGTATTGGTGGGAGAATTGACTAGAGAAGTCTTCACTAAGGTGACGTGAAGATGTGAACAGAAGGTCTATCTTGGGAAGGAGCATTCCATATAGAGGGAATATCCAAGTGCAAAGCCCTGAGATAGAGCATGCCTTTGGATGTTTGAGGAACAGCAGAGTGAGCAAGTAGGACAGTGGTAGGAGATAAAGTCAGAACATATGTGCTTTTACTTCGTAGGAGATGGTTAATTCTTGGTTGGGTTCCTGTCAATGGAGTGTACATGATTTGATTTAGGTTTTGGTGGAATCAGTCTAGCTGTTTGTTGAGAATAGATTGGATTGGGTTAAGAACAGAAGAACAGAAGCAAAGAAGCCATTTAAGAGTTTATTGTAATAAGCCAGTCAAGAAGTGATGTTTCTCAGACCAGAGTTGTAATAGTGGGAGAGATGAAAAGTAGTTGATTATCAAAAGATTTTGAAAGTAGCTGGTAGGACTTATAATTACTAAAATGGTAAGACTTTGAATAGGATAAGATTGGAGGGGCGGGGAAGATAAGGGTATTCAGTTTGAGATGCTAGACACCCAAGTATTAGGATCAGACAGGCATATGAGGAATTATCGAGGCTGGAGGTATAAATTTGGTGAATAGCAACTCTAGAGCCATGAACTCATCTGAGATAACTAGGAAATGAGTATATATAGAAAAAGAGGTTCAAAGATTGAGTCTTATGGTCCCCCTCCAGTGATTATAGGTTGAGAATTGGGAAGAATCAGCAAATAAGGTTTTTTTAGACAAAGAAGGAGGAAAACCAGGAGAGTTTGGAATCTTGGAAGTCAAGTAAAAAAACTGTTTTAGATTGGAGGAGTGATCAACTCTACCCACTTCTGCTTGCTTCTCATTATAGAACATTTAACATTCAGAGGTCCAGGTGATATGACTAGCATAGAGTTAAGCTGTCCTTCCCAGAAGATCTTTCTCATTATCCTGTTATAATGGTTGAATTTGACCATTTAGTATTCTTTCGGGTGTGTGTGTAAACATTTAGTATTCTTTATTTGTTTGCTAAGGCTACCATAATAAAGTATCATAGATCGGGTGGCTTAAACAACAGAAATTTAGTATGTCTTAATTCTGGAGGTACTAGGTATCTGAGATCAAGGTATGAGCAGAGTTGGTTTCTTCTGAGGCCTCTACTTGGTTTGTAGATGGCTATCATCTCCCTATGTCTTCACATGGTCTTTCTCTATGTGTCTGTATCCTAATCTCCCTTTCTTCTAAGGATGTCAGTCACTTGAATTAGGGTTCATCCATATGACCTCACTTTAACTTAGTTGCTTCTTTCAAGATGCTATCTTTAATCCTAACAGTCACATTCTGAGATAACTGGGGTTAGGAGTTCAACATATGAATTTGGGTGGGAGTGATTCAGTCCAAGGCACCTTCACTTGAGTTTGGAAAGATTATTAGTTTTCAGGTATTTCTTGATGAAAGTCAGTTACTCTCATCCAGAATAACAGATTTTAGAAATGAATTTGTACTTTAGGATTATCCAGGTATGATGATAGATACTTTTGGGAGATTTTTTTTTGCTCTGTGACCAGTTACTGTCTTCTGTGCACATGCAGTGCCCTCAGAGTGAGCTGGATGCTGAAACTGTGAAGAGCATTCTGGCCGAATACAAAATTCACAATGCTGATGTGACGCTGCGTAGTGATGCCACTGCGGACGACCTCATCGATGTGGTGGAAGGAAACAGGTATGACTAAGTGTACAGTCTGGTGCCCAGGTTTGAATTTGAAGTCTTGTAGTGGAAACAGTATTGGATTATTAAGCTGGAAGACACTGATACTAACTGTGCTATCTCAGATAATAGTGGGCCTTGGTTTTGTTAGCTGTAAATCGAAGGGTTGGTTTTGATTTCTAACATTCTTCTTTGGTCTAAAATTTGATTATGATGGTCAGATTCTCCACTGCTGTTACTTGCTGTGAAGTAGGCCGTTCCCTAAGCTGTGTCATATGATGGTGGAAGAGAGCAGTTCTCAGTCTGCTCTCTCAGAATTAATCCATCTGAGAAATCCTATATGCTGTTGTATAGAACTCAGAGCTTGCTGGGCTGTATCTGTTCTTTCTAAGGGTAACCTAAAAGTATGTAGCTGAAGCCCTATTCCATGAAAAATTACTATTAGTATTTTAAATCAAATAATTAAGCCACTGTTAAAATTTTTTGGCATTTGAGCATAATATTCTTCAGTTGCTTTCCTATTCATTTGTTCTTTTTTATTTGATAGATTTATTTGATTCTCATTTGAAAACAAACAAAGGCAATTCTTTGTGTTAGGCATCGTATAAGTGGAGGCAATTGAAGCCTGAAAAGTTGTGGCTTGCTATAAATTATTAGTATCCTCAGCTGCTGTATTGATATGGACATTAGGATTGTGACATTGTCAGTTATTTTTATTTTAAAAATTTTCATGAAATATATTGTTAAAATATATTTACACTTATAGTATATAAAACAACTTTGTGGGAAATTGACTCTCAGACTTGCCCAAGGGATTTAGATCTAGGAAGTGACAGAGCTGGGAGTAGACTGAGTCTGTGATTCCAAAGCTTGTGTTCCTTATGATACCTCTCAATTAGCTGCATGGCTGAGACTTGGGCCTGAGTTTTGTTACTTCTCAACTCATGGTTCACTTTTTGGATATTCTACCTTACTTTGATAGGAAGCCTTTTGGGGTGTGGGGTTTGAGGGGTTGATCTGATGTTTTTCAAGACTATGATTTGGGGTCCTGGGTCAGGGGATGCTGATATTCACAGAGAGTCTTGTCAACAGCTCCAGACTAATGTCCTGTTTTTCTTTTACTTCTGTAGAGTTTATATACCTTGCATTTACGTGTTGAATAAGATAGATCAGATTTCCATTGAGGAATTGGATATCATCTATAAGGTGCCTCACTGTGTACCCATTTCTGCCCATCATCGCTGGAATTTTGATGACCTATTGGAAAAGATCTGGGACTATCTGAAACTAGTGAGGATGTAAGTCTTAGTAGAAAGGGTCATATTGCTGTAGGAATTAAACCAGACTATCCTAAAAAGATACTGTCTGGAGCTCATTGACATAATTTGTCTCTTTTTGGAGATATAAATAAGTAAATTTCTGTTATCTGCTAGGCCATATTGAGGACACTTTCTTCCTTAATTGGAGGTTATCTATGTCTGATCTTTTCAGGGGTGATGGAGGGTTGATTTGCATTTAATACATGGAACATTCTAAGAAGTAGGCAACCTCTGCTTCCTCTCTGTTCTAGTTATACCAAACCCAAAGGCCAGTTGCCAGATTATACATCTCCAGTGGTGCTGCCTTACTCTAGGACAACAGTGGAAGATTTTTGCATGAAGATTCACAAAAACCTTATCAAAGAATTTAAATAGTAAGTATCATGGACATGTAGTGCCTTCTTTTCACTATGAGCTCCTGATTCCAATAACTAGCAATTCTTGGGGTACCATTAAAGAAAATGGCTTCAGAGGAGCTGCAAAAATGCTTGCTTGGGTAGAACTCTGCAGTGTCTTCCTAAAACCATGCCAGGTTAGAGCAGGAAGTGCTCTAGAAGCCTTGTCAGGTCAGGTGGGCTGACAGGAATGAACAAATGTTAATTCTTCCTGCCAGCATCTTACTGGCCTCCAGTGGGTACTGAGACTCCTAAACCTTAAGCATGCTTTAATGCCCCTAAATCTCTTTCATATACTTTCATTGCTGATACAGGCTGAAAAAAAAAAAAATTCTGACACCTTATTTTGAGCTCATTGAACTAATTTTATTTACCTTAATTTATTTTTCTAAAGGTTTATCTGTGAGAGAGTGTGCGTGTACATATGTGTGGGGACAGGGCAAAGAGAGAGAGAATCTCAAATAGACTCCTTACTGAGTATGGAGCCTGACACAGGGCTTGATCCCACGACCTTGAGACCATGACCCGAGCCTAAACCAAGAGTTGGATGCTCAACCAGCTGAGCCACCCAGGCACCCCTGAGCTAATTTTAGACTTACAGAAAAGTTGAAAAAATAGTACAAGGAGTTTCCTTATATCCCTTAACCACTCTTCTGACATTATCAGCTCACATAACCTCTGTAGAACAATTTTTGTCTATCGGTTGGTGAATGGATAGAAAGATGTGGTGTATGTACACACAATAGGATATTATTCAGCCATAAAAAAGAATGAAATCTTGTTATTTGCAACGACATGGAGGGAGCTAGAGAGTATAATGCTGAGTGAAATCAGTCAGAGAAAGACAAATACCATATGATTTCACTCATATGTGGACAGGGGGATAAAAAGAGGAAATAAGAAACAGACTCTTTAACTATAGAGGACAAACTGATGGTTACCAGAGGGGAGGTGGTTGGGGGAATGAGTGAAAGGGGTGATGGGGATCACACTTGATATGAACAGCGGGTGATACATGTTGAATCACTATATTGTACACCTGAAACTGGTATAACACTGTTACCTGGAATTAAGATAAAAACTTTAAAAAAATACTTGTTTCTGATCCTAAGAAAGAGTGAAGACCTTTATCTTACATTTCTTTTATCCAAAACACGTGCAGCTGTTAATTTCCACTACCCTTAGACCTTTACATTTTGGATATACTTGAATCAGCAAAGGGGAGTCTTGTGAAGTTAGATCAGTTTCTTTTTTCAAACTTCATAGATTTCTATATAAGTCTTGGCTTCCATGGTGGCAGAACACTTTTCTAAGCCTCTAGAACTGTAAGTTAATGAAGGAATTAAATGAGAAGGGAGAAAAATATTTTGAAGAAAAGACATTTCAAAGCAAATGGAATTTTATTTGGTAACTATTTTCCTGTTTGTTTGTTTTTTTTTTTTATGGAACAAATAACCTTTTAACCATCTTAATAGAAAAAAATTTCAGCTTTAGACCTGCTAATTACAACATTTGTCCCTGTTGCATTCCGTTTGTGTCCTTGAATACAGGCACATGTCCTTTGATCATTTACTATGTGTTTTCTGTGTTACAAGATTCACGTCATTTTTATGATCCCGTTTTTCCTATTTATTGCTACTTTACATAGTTTTCTTGTCTTCACGCACAGACCTTTCCCTTTTAATTTCTTTAATCCAGGATTCATGATAATATGGTCTTTGATATGTTTTGCCGCATTGCTCCAAAAGGGCTGGACCTATTTACATTGCCATCAACAAAATGGGAGGCACTGATGTTAACTGCAGGCATTGAATATGATTGCTAAAAACTAGTTTTTTGGGTGCCTGGGTGGCTCAGTCGGTAGTGCCAGCCTTCAGCTTGAGTCATGATCCGAGGGTCCTGGGACTAAGTCCCAAATTGGGCTCCCTGCTCAGCAGGAAGTCTGCTTCTCCCTCTCCCCTCCCCCTGCTCATGTGCTCATGTTCTCTCTCTAGCTTACTGTCTCTTTCTTAAGTAAATAAATATTCTTGGAGTGCGTGGGTGGCTATGTGTTTTCTGTGTTACAAGATTCACATCATTTTGGTTGGTTGAGCAGCTGCCTTCAGCTCAGGTTATGATCCTGGAGTCCTGGGATTGTGTCCTGCATCAGTCTCCTGGCTCAGCAGGGAGCCTGCTTTTCCCTCTGACCCTCTCCCCTCTCATGCTGTCTCTCTCTCAAATAAATAAATAAAATCTTTAAAAAATAATAATCTTTATAATAAAAAAAAAAGACAAAAAACTAGGGGCGCCTTGGTGGCTCAAATGGTTAAGCATCTGCCTTCGGCTCAGGTCAAGATCCCAGGGTCCTGGGATCAAGCCCTACATCGGGCTCCCTGGGAGCCTGCTTCTTCCTGTCCTTTTACTGCTATCCCTGCTTGTGCTCTCGCTCTGTCAAATAAATAAATAAAATCTTTTTTTTTTTTTTTTAAGATTTTATTTATTTATTTGACAGAGAGATCACAAGCAGGCAGAGAGGCAGGCAGAGAGAGAGGAGGAAGCAGGCTCCCTGCTGAGCAGAGAGCCCGATGCGGGGCTCGATCCCAGGATTCTGAGATCATGACCTGAGCCGAAGGCAGCGGCTTAACCCACTGAGCCACCCAGGCGCCCCTAAATAAAATCTTTTAAAAAAACAACTAGTTTCCTGGTTTAAGATTATAAAATAGTGACCTTGCATTTACCTTATTAGTGCATTGAAAATTTTATGTCTTATAAATGCTTTTGTATTTCTTCCTGTTACCTGTTTTTTGTTTTTTTGTTTTTGTTTTTGCAAAATGAAATCTTACTCAATGATTTCTTTTTGGAACATAGGTTATTATTATTTTTTTTAGATTTATTTATTTTAGAGATTGGGAGAGAGAGCACATGCTTGGGGGTGGAGGGGCACAGAGCCCTGTGTGGGGCTCTATCCCACATCCCTGAGATCATGACCTGAGCCAAAATCAAGAGTCGGACACTTAACCAACTGTGCCACCCAGATGCCCAGAGCATAGGTTTTTAAAGATGTTTTGTTGCAAAGGCAACAAATGGTGTGGCCACCATTTTCTATCCCTTGGTACATAGTTCTTAGCCTTTGTGAGGCAGGTCTCAGTGTCCATCACTAACATAACATATTTTTAGTATTGGAGGCCTATAGATAAAAAAAAAATTTGCTGGCTCAGTCTGCTTCTCCCTCCCCCTGCTCCTGTGTTCTTATTTACTTTCTGTCTTTCTCCCTCTCAAATAAATAAATAAAATCTTAAAAAAAATTACTTTCATAAATTAAAAAAAAAAAAAATCTGGAGAACATACCAGTTATGGTGTCTTGGAGAGAGAATCTTCCTAGCAAGGCTGAGGAGAGAGGTCCTATATTTCTTAGTACCCACTGATGGCTTAAATAGATCTAATAAAAATTGGTGTTCTGTAGCAATCTATAACTGACACCATAAGAATTTCTAATCTGAATTATTTCAGAGTATTTTTCTATAATCCATGCTTTCTTCTTTTAATTTTCAGCTAGTCTTGTTACATTTCTCATTTGTGTTTTTTCTCTTTGACTTTCCTAAATTGACTCTGGAACAAGAGGAACCACACAACTTCCAGAAGTCTTTGCCATTTTCTATGTGAAGGCTCCATTGTGCCATACTGCTGGGGAAGCTAATGCCTGTGGGCTTTGAATGTAGTCATTGACTGGGGTGAGGGGATGGTGCAAGACTAGGATTCTTTTAAGAGGTGGAATGCTAAATCTAAGCAGAAAGGTGGCACCCTGGTAGCTAGGGTAGAAGCTAGGTGATTATTTACACTGACTTTTTTTTTTCCCCCTTCCATACAGCGCTCTGGTCTGGGGTCTCTCTGTGAAACACAATCCTCAAAAAGTGGGTAAAGATCATACGTTGGAGGACGAGGATGTCATTCAGATTGTGAAGAAGTGAAACCTTCCCCCTGCCCATCTGCTGGGCCAACCATAGCAGCTATTCCCATAACCAAGCTATTCCCCACCCCAAACCTTTTTGAGCTTTGGCATCCAGTGGATCAGGATTTAGGGGAGGGAGATGAAGGCATCCAAGCTGGAACTTTACTTGTCTTAACTTGGTGTCATCTTGTAAATTAACTGCATAAAGGACCTGGTAGGCCAAGCCAGCTATGTGCTGTTCATGTGTCAGAATTTGTTTTGGGTTGGACTGAATGAGGACGGGTATGTACTGTGAGGCATCTGCAGAAGGGGTGCTTGGGAGCTTGGTCTTAAGTGTGGAATGGATCAAAATGTGACTACAACATCTTATTTGATGTTTAGTCACGAGAAACCCTTCCAACTGGATGTGGCCTTCATTCTTTTCAAGTGGTCTTTTGCAGGTGATACTGGAAAGAGGAAGGACGTGATGTAAGTTAACTGGTAATTCCCTGCAAGGCTGGTCAATTTGGGATATAGTGTCATGTGACAGTTGAGTAAAGTACTCTAACCAGATGCATCAAGAGTTTGAATTGCATGGCCACTTCTAATTAGCTGTGAAACCCTGCATAAATGACACAACCTTTATAACTGTCCCATTTCCTTATGTAACACGGAGATGGTGATAGCACTTACCTTCTAGAGTGGAGACTGTTAGTATTAAGGGAGAGATGGTAGTTGTAAAATTATTTAGTGTAGTATCTGGCACAGAAGTACTTAGTGAATGTTGGCTGTTACCACTGGTCACTTTCCTTTACCTGAGCGGAGCAGGTTTGTGTATATGTGTATGTATGGAGGTGGGATGTTATAAGGGAAGGTGGGGTCGGGACTACTTGAGAGGGTACTGAGGACATAATGAGAGGTTTTGGGCTGGGAATACAGGGATATAAAGGGATCATCCTGGTACTAGGAAATTCATAGGCAAAAATCTTTGTGTGGTAGACTGGGTTGGTGGTAATAATGGCAGAGGGAGGGTGTGGTTATGTAGGTAGGTACACAGAAGTCTAAACTTGGTAATTGACTTCCTCTTTGGTGAAAAAGAAGTCAAAGATGATTTCAGTATGGATTACAGGGATGATAGAGAAGGGTAGTCCCTGAGAAAATGAGGAATGGAAACAGATTTGCAGGAAAACAGTTTGATTTTTAGATGAAGTGAGCTAGAGCTTCTAGCAGGTTGTGAGGGATGGGGATGTGGGATTATCCACATCAGACTCAGCCTTTTCCAGTACAGTACTTGTTATTCATGCTACCCTAGTAACAGTTGTTTCTCTGATCATCTTTCTGGAGCTTGGGGTTAGCATTGTCTCCAGACCCAGGAGATATGCCTGGTATCCCAGTGACTTTGCAGGATATAAACTTTGATATCACTGTTGCATTCATGATAGGTATCAGACCAAAATCTGGACCTACCCCCAGCTCTTTAGAGAAACGTTGGCTTTCTGAGCTATGGGATTTCCAGCAAGGTTTGCTCTCCAACCAGAGCAAATACTGGGTTTCAGAGAAATCCTCATGTTCAAAGTCACGTCATTGAGCAAGGATTTAGCACTGCCAGGATTTGGGTAGAAGAGGTTGCTGAAATCTAGTTCGTCAAAGATCTCAGGATGTGCTTTGAACAGGCCTTGCTTCCATCATTCAGCATCCTCCTCTCCGCCTGTCAGTGACTCCGATGCTTAAGGAGAGCATTACCCTACCATTTTCCTTTCTTTCCCTTTTGGGCTTAGACTTGAGAGTTCTGGGAGAGGAATCCTGTCAGGGGTAGGGCTGCTAAGGAGAGGCATTCCTTTAGTAAAGGCTTTCTCTTCATGGACTCCCAAGATTACAATGGTTTGGCTGTCACAGCATGGCTCGAATTTCCTATATGGTTACACATTCCATTTCTTTTGTGATTTTTTTTAAAAAGTTCATTTATTTAAGCAATCTCTGCGCACCCAGTGTGGGCCTCTACCTCATGACCCTGAGATCGAGAACTACATGTTCTACCCACTGAGCCAGCCATGTGCCCCTTTCCTGATTTTTTTTGTAGCACAACATAACAGACTCACTGTTCTGTGCCATTAGTTAGAATGCCTTTAACTGTGTTTAACAGCAAACACTAACTTAACAAGCTGAAGTGGAAGGAAACTTGATCTCTCATCTAAGTTGTAACAGTGCTCAGATGGGCTCACAGTAGCTGTGGTGCCATTGAAGATCCAAATTTTTTCATCGGTCAACTCTGTCCACTGCAGTTTGTTGGCTTTGCTGAGCAGCTGGGTCCCCTCACAATCAGAATGTCTGCTGCAGTCCCAGGCTTTACATCCAGCATCCAGAGGATAATAATGAGGACTGATTCTTACTGTTGTGGGAAGCTGTTTGCCAGAAACTGCCCAGTTTGTCCTTGTGTCTTATGTCCTAAATTGGGCACAAGCCTGTGCTTGAATCAGCTGTTGAAGAGAATAGAATTATTGAAGAGTTTACTCCTGTAAGATCTTCATTCCTGGATTTTTTTTTTTTTTTTAAGATTTTATTTATTTATTTGACAGAGATCACAAGTAGGCAGAGAGGCAGGCAGAGAGGCAGGCAGAGAGAGGGGGAAGCAGGCTCCCTGCTGAGCAGAGCAGAGAGCCTGATGCGGGGCTCGATCCCAGGACTCCAAGATCATGACCTGAGCCGAAGGCAGAGGCTTAACCCACTGAGCCACCCAGGTACCCCCATTCCTGGATTTTGTTTGCTCATCTTACTCATTTAAAAGAAGGGCCGGTGACCCTGCTGCTCTTCTTAGTAGAACCTCTTAAGGATACTCAATAGCTGTCTCCTGAAAGAAGGGCTGGCTGTACTAGCCTATTTTTTCCCCACTTACTGGTTACCCAGACTTACTATGTACTCGCTGCTCAGCTGCTTCCTTTGGGAGGCATTTTCTTTGCTCCTACCTGACCCACCCTCCTTAAAGGCAGGTCTTCCATGAGGCTCTTTGTGGCATTCCTTTTTTATTTTGAGGCTGCCTTCCACATCCTGATTTAATTGTAGTTGACACAGTGTTACATTAGTTTCAGGTATACAACACTGATCCAACAAGTCCACATGTTATGCTCACAAGTGTAGCTGTCACCATGCAGTACCATTGTCTATATTCCCTCTGCTGCATCTTTTATTCCCATGATTCTCTTGACCTTTGTGTTGTACATCTTTCTAGTCCTGATTGCTTCTAAACACCTCAGGCCTGCTAGACTTCCCAAAGTTGTTACATATATGACTCCTCCTGTTAGCAGAGACATCATTTCCTCCTGCCCTGACCCTTTTATCAGGCTCTTAGCTCCTGAAGACTGCAATAGCTTCCTCTTCTGCTTCCATTCCCTCCCCTGCACCAAAATAATTTTAAAATCCACCTTCTGCTGTGCTAGTGTTTGCAACATTCCCTTACTTCCTTCTGGCTCTATCTCACCAACCACTGGCAAATGGCTTTGCCCATTGCTTGGTGTCTACATTGTTCATTTCAGTCATATCAGCTTCTAGTCTGAAAATTGGCAACTTGAGCCCAATTCTTCCGCCAAACACCTATAACTCTTGGTTCAACATGAAGCGGGGGAAGTCAAAGAAGACACAGGAAAGGTGGAACTGGATTCAGGCATCTGTGTTCTATTGTCTTTAGACTGCTTTCCAGCTTCTGCTTGTGGAAACAAAGCATTTGCAAGAATTCTAAACAAAGGCTTTATTTCTAAAGCTAAGGATTCCCAAGAGCAAATCCCACGAGGGCCTGGGGAGTGGGAGGACTGATGAAGTACAAGGACAAGACAGACCTCATGCTCAGTCCATAAAGCTAGGTTTTGCTGAAAGGCAATCTAGTTTCTTGTGTTCCTGGAAGTAACAAGTCATGGTGGGCAGCTCCAGGCTCATAGGCAACACTCCTAACACTGAAGACTCAGGCTATTTTTTACCCTTGTAATCAGTCACCTTGGCCTTCATCTGTGAATCAGAGAACTACCTCATTATTTGACCCTCTGGCATGAAGTCAGAGTAGCGTTGATGGCCCTACATGGACAAGTATTGAGAACTAGGGCAGATGGATTCGAGTTTGAGAAACAAAAGTTATCACTTCAGAGAGTAGGACTGAAAAACCTTCAGTCAGGAAAGGGGGCTCAAGACCATAGCTAAAGTATTCTGGTAGAATACTGTTTTCTAATGCTGTGCATACAGTTAAGATGAATAATGAAAATAATTATGAGCTGAGGAATGAGACACAAAACACAAAGTCTGTTGACACAGTCTTGAGGGCAGTTTCATATGAAAAAGACTAATTAATGGATTGAGTGAGAACTCTCCGGTCCTATTTTTCTTTTATAGGGGGCTTATGAGCTGGAGAACAGGATGCTGATAGACTATTCACTTTTGCCCGAGTAAACATGAATTTGCTTGGGAGAAGCTACCATATACATGATTACCCAATACATTGTTTTCACTGGGTGGTTTTAATTGAAGACTGTACACGTTATAATCTGGTGTTAACTGCAAGATTTCCTATAGGGTCATTCCAGCCTAAGCTGGCCCATTAGGGTCTTTAAGGCTCAAAAAAGATGGCCAGTGCTTCTTCCTTCTAAATGAGGTAAAGAGTTTAATTCTTAAGTTTAGGAAAAATTAAAACTTCAGATCATTTCCCTTGGGGAACCTACTGAACCTCATAGGTTAGCTGGCTGTAAATGAGAAGGAATGAATTCAGAAAGAAATACAACAATGTCATTCACTTCATTCACACACTTAGCATATGCAACTTTAATCAACCAAAAGAAAAAGTCCCAAATGTACAAGTGGAAAAAATCAAATTGTTGACACAGGCTTAACTAATATCAGCTACTTTTATGTACAGCTGTATAAGTTCAAAAAAGCTATCCTATATGTATATACAAAAGTTGTTTATACACAAGTCTGTACATAGGGTCTATACATTTATTTCCTCAGAACCCTTAGGTGCCACCTCTTGGTGAAGACACCAACACTTCATTCACATATCTTACAAAAAAAGACTACTGCCAGGATGGACAACATGTGCATCCTGTATTCCGACCACGTAGGCTCCATTCGATTGGTTAAGATCCTTCCCTCAGTGCAGACCACACCAGGTGCCTGGGCTTCCCTAAATAGCTTCACAGAGTGCTCCAAAGTAAAACTCCATAAACCAATCCGCAGTGAGGAAGCAGAGTCCTAATCAAAGTGCCACTGTAAGTCCAGGCACAGGTTAGTCTGCCTGCCCTGTTCACTGACGATACTCCAATTCATCTACACTGATGACTTTGGCAGGCATGGAGGGCAGGGGCTGCTGTAGCACATCTGAGCCAAACCATTTGGCGAGGCCCACCGGGGAGCTGCTCCTCTGGCTGGGGCGATGCTCCAGCTGGGAGTGCACGTGGGGCAGGCCTGACCTGGTGGGCACATTCTGAGGGGTCGTCTGAACGCTGACAGCTGCTGCCTGGGAACCAGAGCCTGGAGGATGAAGAACTATGGGGATAAGAAAGAAGGTTATCATTCAGAGCATGTAGGGGAACACA